CTAGTCTATAACATCTTCTGGCCTCAAAAGTACAGTTTTCCTTTGCTACTTTTACTTCCGGTTCTCTCACAAACATTCGTGCTCCTAATCTTTGGCATTTATTGGTAATTCTTGACCTAAGACAAGTCCTAAGAGATCAAAGTGCAAGATAAAGTTTAGTTTAACTCTTGAAGTTGCTCTTGACACCCCATGAATTCTCCATGAGATTATAGTTTTGTTTTTGAGCCTTCCAAATCCAAAATTGGGGTTGGTCATCAAATTTCCTGCACGTGCCTAATTAAAATTGTACTGGTGTAAAGGGTCTATGAGATCAGTTTGTAGCTGGGCACATCCTTTAATGCCAAGTGCACATACATATGCATAATAAGCTGATCTATGAGATCAGTTTGTAGCTGGGCACATCCTTTAAGGTGTTCATTAATAAGCTACAAACACATCCTTTTAAGGACCAGTGCACATACATATGTGTTTAATAAGCTACAAACACATCCTTTAGCTTATTAATGTGTTTAACCTTATTATTATATCATTTTTTATTCTATACTTCAAGGTGGTGTTCCTGCAATTCCTTCTCAAACATACACATCTCTAATTGACCAATCTTCTTTATATGACCCCCCTAAAAACTCATCATTCTAATCCTTAAACTTACACCAGCCTAATACTTATCGATTTTCCCTTTTGACATTAGAGGTACACTATGACTGCAAATTGCTGTAACAATGCCCGTCGTTGCTGTTCTCCTTTTAAGCTATCCTGACTAACTATTAAGAGCTGCATGTTGGTTACTAATTATCACTATTATTACTTTTGGTTAGTCACTATTTGGCCGTTGTTTAAATCAGGATATGAAGGTAGAGATCCTAGATTAGCAGCTGTTGTAACATTGGCGTCTTCACTTGACTACACAACTTCGAAATCAACACTTAAGATGCTCCTACCACTTGTAAGTAGAATACTAGTCAATTCTGCTTTTTTATGGTCCTTTCCTTCTCTTACAAGTGATATAAAATATTTTATTTATTTGTATCTATTGTTTTTTCAGGCAAATCCTGCACAAGTCCTTAATGTCCCTGTTGTTCCACTAGGAGCCATGCTATCAGCTGCTTACCCTTTTACATCAAGTCCTCCATATGTCTTGTCTTGGCTAAATAATTTAATATCAGCGGAGGACATGATGGATCCAGAGTTGCTAAAGAAGCTTGTTTTGAACAATTTCTGTACGCACAAATACCTTTTATTCTTTTGAATGTTGGTTTGTATTTTATTCTGCAGTATGTAATGAGGAAGAATAGTACATGTGGCACTCACAACTCAACATATAACAAACACCTTTTTTTTTCCTCTTTTGCTTGTATTAAGTGTTCATCAACTTTTTTTGTCTAGACTCTGCACTATATGGATTGCTATTCTGTTGATTAGGTGCACATATATTATTAGCCCAACTTTTATAGTTGTTTCTTGTTGAATTCCCATCTGTTTTTTCCCTATCCTTTCCGAAGTTAAAACTGCTTTCTTATTGGAGATGTGGATTGACAACCATTTAATGCTTTATATTTTACTGTTTCTGTGCTTGTATCAAGTGTTAATAATCAACTTCTGTGTGCAATCTAACCTAGTTGGATTGCTTCTATTATACTATTGTTTTTGTTGATGTTCCCATTTATGCTGTTTTTCAAGTCTTTAGAACTGCTATATTTGCGTCTTGTACATTTGTCATTATGTTATAATTGATGTTCAAGCAGCTATACTTGCTAGTGTTCATAAGAATGTCTTTAACTGTAAGCTGAAATTTTGCTTGAATGTCAACTATCAACTCTTCACCATAAATTTTTCCTGAAGTATCTTCTTCTAACTCCATGATAATACCCCCAGGTACTATATCAGCTAAACTTTTACTACAACTAACAACAACTCTTCGAGAGGGTGGACTGCGTGACCGTAGTGGCACCTTCTTCTACAAGGAGCATTTGCCCAAAATTACTACCCCAGTGTTGGCTTTCGCTGGAGATCATGATCTCATTTGCCCACCTGAAGCCGTTTATGGTATTCCTTACTTTTTTTATAATTAATTTCTTAGCATCTTAGTCCGTGTTTAATGTTTGACTTTTAGCTGTTGTGACATCATGACGTTGATTTTGACTATTTATTTATTTTTTTGTTAAAAATCTTGTTAGTTTTGGTTTATAACATAAAATAAAGATGCTCCTGACATCCGTAAGTGAAAATGTTATAATAAGTGACCTCCAAAGTATTGTCCTGTCTTCGCACTTTCTCACTAATACTCCCTCACTAATTTATGTCAATGCTTTATTAATTAAGAGGTGGTCATTGCCATTTAAGAGGTAACATTAACATTGATTAGGTCTTGAGAATACATACATACATACATACTGGTGATGAATGGAGGCTGGTGTAAATGTTGTCTTCGAGATACTGTTACTGCGTGGTAGTTAAGCTAGCTTACTGTGTAATTTTTTTTTGTAAGGACACCGTTAAGGGGTGGGTTTGAGCAGACAAAATAAATAATCTTCTAAGGGTGGTTTATTTTAACTTATTATTAAGTAGCATACTTTGGGGTGGTTTTGGACTGAACTTTCTTTTACTAATTTTGTTTAGATAAGTTGCTTTGTATATTATTAATGATACTCAAACTCGAATACGTGGATCCTTGAAATTGGCTTTATTGTGAATTAAATTTTGTTTTATTATTAAAAACAAGGAAGTCTCCTTACAAGATTACGAATCAATACTCCCTCCGTCCAAAAATAGCAGTCTTATTTACCCAAAATTTGCCCCAAAATAAAAAAGGAAAAATCTCCATTATTGTTTTCTCTTATTGTTCACCTTTAATTAACCAAACCTCAGCACCCTTTTTTATTTTTTTTTAAAATTCAATTTTAGTCAATCAAACCCTACTTGTTAAGTTGTTTTTAGTTCTTTTTTTAAGCATTCAAATTTCACCATCTTGCTTTGTGATATTTACCTTTAATCAACTAGTCCCCAATTTTTTTTTACTATTCACATTGCCTATAATCAATCAAACCCCACTATACTCTTCTTTATTCACCTTCCTAAACACGTGTGCAGTAGGCAAATGTCATTTGGGACACAGGGACTTTGTTGCAGCCCCTTTTAGGAAATTAAAAACCTATGCTCTCCCACCCCTTTAAGTTTTTTCTACTAGATAGCACAAAGAAAGGAATATGTTATTTTATCCAACCAAAACTCAAGAGGAAAAGTGATATAGTTTTAGTTTAGTGATTTTCAATTGTTTGTCCAAGATCTAATTTTGACACTTTTTATGGAACAGAAACTGTGAAGTTTATCCCTGAAAACATGGTTACTTATAAAGTTGTTGGACAGCCCGGAGGTCCACATTATGCGCACTATGATTTGGTTGGAGGAAGACTGGTTAGGATATTCTGACCTTTCTTTTGTAAATTTTTTACTCAATATCGTCGAAAGCCAAGCTTGATACAGTTACCAGCATTTATTTTTATCTTCTTCTGCTTCAGTCTTTTGTGGCTTGCTGTGAGTGTCCCCAACCTCCTCCCCCTTCCACATAAGTTTTTAAAATTTAATGCTTATTCTTGTTTTTGCAGGCTGTAGAAGAAATATATCCTCGTATAATTGAGTTTCTGAGCTGTAATGACTAGAGATTTGGATTAAAAGGACGAGACCCTCTCTCAAAATGAATTTTTTTTTTTTTTTTCTTTTTGTGGCTACAAAGAGCAAAGCAGCTGCATCTCACATCACCAACTCAAGCTATATTCGCGCGGTGCTTAGTTAATTTATGATTTTGCAAATGGAACGCAGAGTAAAGTTGCCCAAGGCAAGCAGCCAAGCATCTCTCCTTTTTACCGAGGATGTCAAGAGTTGCTATCAGGCTGGGTTTGGTCTGCTATCCAAGCTTTCGGTTCCCATACTTTTGGTCAGAATTGTACATGTGTATAAGGTTTTCATATTCTTGACTCCAAAGTTTATAGTTCGTATATAGAATCGAAGATGCTGGTTAAAGGTGTATTGCTGCAGGTTTGTATTATTTTCTTTACAAGCTGTATAGACTTTGTTGTAAAATGTCCCTGTCGTTTTCTTTACGTGGAGTGATGGATTTTGGATGTCATTCTATTTCTCAGTATCAAACCAAAAATTAAGGAAAGCAAGGAGCCAAAACTGAAAAGGAAATCTTAGATCTATATATTTTGGAGTTGATGTTTATATGGTCTTCTTTTTTTATTTATTTGGATAAGATGAGACGTACTGTTTGTGAAATAGATGTGTGTTATCCTGTCTTTATCTTGGGATGCAGATGGTGTGTGATTTTGTTTGTTGGGGGGAGGAGGGAACTCCAATACTTGGTGATAAATTACTTGGTTAAGGCTTATTTTTGAAGAAATTAGCTTTAAATAAATAAACTAGATTGTAAGGTTATATTCTATATATAATTAAATTTAACTTAATAAGCTGAATAGAAATTAATTTTTAAGACTTAACTGAAATTTATGTAATTTGATTAAAGCATATCGTTATAGTGAATTAAACTTGTTGGAACTTTATTGAAACATAGTGAAATTTGTTTTAACTTATCCGAATTTATATAAAAACATACATTGAATAGAATATACGGAGTACCTTTAATTGTTTTTGGTCCGAGCAGCGCTTGGGAAATTCGTGCCGTATGATTATATGAAGGTTTATTGAGTGATGAATGAATAAAGAGATTTCTTTTCCAACATCAGTTATGTTTGTTCTCCAATTATATGCTTAAATGGACTATTGGTGCTACAATCTTTATTTATTTTGTTGATGCTGAAGAGGGATTACAATGGCATTGCACTTAAACATCAAGAGTACTTTTTTAAAAAACATTATAAGAAATCAAGAGTTTTGTTTTTTTAAATACCTCAAATCGTTTTATCATCGTGCCCTTGAGGCTTTGTCCCTGTAATGTTGTAAGACACTAACAGTCTTAACACTATCAAATTAGTCATTTTAGTTTAAGGTTTTCCCTCATATCGAGGAAGAGGTTACCGTGTCAATCACTGTGTCTAGTATTTATATTTTTTGGGTGTAAAGAGAGCTCCCAATAAAAGGCAATAATGTAGACGAGATTTAATCTCTGATGTTAGAGTAGGCAACCACCTAAATTGTTATACTTTGCTTCGCTTATGACTTTGAATTACTTCGTATTATACTGGGCTCCATCCTCCATCCCTAATAATATGGTTTCAACAATAAACATGTAACAAAATCCAACCCTTTTAAAATCCATTCAACATAGGTACAACTACAGACTACTGAGTACAAGTGGTCAACTTTAGCACCAACAAAAAATGTCTCCCTTCAGTTAAACAAATTAAATTCAGAAAGCATCAGAATATTATGGGCATATAGATAAATTTAGTAAATTACAATAATTAAAGTAATTTCCTCATAAATAATGCAAGTCATGCAGCAACAGCAGAAAACCAACAACAGTGTTATCTCAGAGTTTGTTTTGTCATCTTTAGAAATTTACCTTCAGAAAGATAAATTTTTTGTACCAATTTTAGGCTGCAAAATCTAACCATTTCTGTCAAGATTCATTTCTTCCCATCCCTTGTTATTTTCCCCTATTTTTTTTTTATTTTTTTTTATGTTGTTCTGCTTTTTTTCAGAAGATAGATGATCACAAAAATGGGTAACATTTCCAATGTGGGAACAAAATTTCTATGTCGTCTTGGTAGGTTCCCACATTGAGTTAGTACTCTTATCGTATTCTTTGTTACATGTTATGTTTTCGTATATAATGTGTTCGGTATCTGTCTAGTATTACTCATAAAATTCATTGAAACATCAGTAGCTTGATATAAGACTCGAGTGCGGGTAAAAGAGTGTTAAATGGAATCGAACATGGCTGGTTTTCTTTTGAACGCATCAACTCTTGATCTTGGGCTTAGCTTGAATACACTTCACACCCAAGCTTGTCATCATGCTGATCAGAGTATGTGTTCTCACACACTTTATTTTCAATTATGTTTATTTTTGTTACATGGTCTGCACAAATCTAGGCATGTCATTCAATTTGGCTGCTAGATAACCGTTCCAAGATTAATTTTTTTTTTTTGTTGTAATTGGCCTGTGAAGTTGTTTGGAGTAGATCCTTTCTTAGGACAAAAGTACTCCTTCCGTAAATTTTGTTATTCTCATTTACACGACACAAGGTGAGTTTCCCACCAACTACATTTGCTTGAGAGTAGGTGGATTTCCCTTACCTCCCCCCTCTACTCTTAAACGTTGACCTGAAGAGAAAAAAGTGAAAATAATAGAATCATCAAAGCGAGCCTAATGCTTTATCTGAAACTGATGCAGGCAACCAAAGATTGCAAATGGATTCGACAATAGTCCCTGGGGGTTACAATAATGATCCGATGCAGTGGTCGTACCCAAGTTACTTGGTACGCCTCAAAAGTCCTAATTGCTCAGAATCAAACCCTGATAATTCTATTCAAGAACTGGAGGGAGTCCAGAGCAAAGAACGATGGACTTATGTTAAGGTCAACATGGATGGCGTTATCGTAGGCAGGAAAATCTGCCTCGTCGATCATGCTGGCTATGCTGACCTTGCTCTTCAACTAGAGAACATGTTTGGTAAGCTCGCTCACAAATGCATTACTTAACAAACATATGACTAGAATAGGAGAAAATCATGCACAATTTTCTTATCAGTATGGCCTTAATTATGAGTTCATCAGGTGGGTTAACAGCATATGGCTTACGCTTGTTTCAACGTGGATCGGAATTTATGCTCTTCTACAAGGACAGAGAGGAGAAGTGGAGGTCTGCTGGAGATGTTCCATGGAAGTAAGTTTACTTCATTAGCTAAAAGTCATCTAATATTCAAAAATTAACATGAATTCAGTTATTCAGTGTAAAGCTTTAGTGTACTGACCATCATTTCACTATACATTGTGGTTGCAGGGAGTTTGTAGATTGTGCAAAGAGGTTAAGGATATTGCGAAAGAACAAAGTGCTGCTCTCTTAAATCCAAACAATGCCTGTTCTATAACGTAAACGCACGAAACTCGGTTGAGCCTGCTATCAGGACTTAGATATGAGTTAGGATTTAGATTCACTAGCTTTCAAATTGTAATGAACTCAAGTAAAATAGCTTTTGATCAAGATTACATTACCCCACTTTATTATTCCTTACTAATGTCATCATTAAATACCGATATTTTTAGTGAACTGCTAAATGACTACTGTACTCCATTAATATATCTATCTTTTGATCAAGATTACATTACCCCACTTTATTATTCCTTACTAATGTCATCATTAAATCTTCTTAATTGAGATAATGTTGATTATATATGGACTATGGTGTGAGGTCAGTGAGGCCTGTGAATAATTTATTTCACAACAAATTCTTGATTATAATATGACTTATTATCCTCAATAATGTCATCATTAGTTAAATCTTCTTGCAACGCCTTTCATAATTTTTGGGTTATCAAGATTGTATTGTGTATGGCACAAACAGCGCGTCTTGTGTGCGGCTGACCACATCATGTAACCGTTTGTATAAGAGCAAATAATCCTTACAACATTGATTAAGTAACCCTATAACACTGACAAAGTAACCCCTATAACTCTAATGAAATAACCCTTGAAAACTGATCGGGTAACCCTATAACACTCACAAAGTAATAATCCCCACATAAGAATTTGTGTGGCACAAATTATATTGGTACAATGTCTTAACGGAGAGGATGTGTACGCATCCCTACCTTTTAAAAAAAATTAAGAAGCTCTTATGAATAGTGTTTGGACAATTATATCATCTAAAAGGTCTTTTTAATTATTTGTCCCCATTAATGTTAATTGCCCTTTTTTTTTTTAACTCTTAAAATAGTGTGCGGATTTTCATACTCCTAAAATTAATTGTTTACACGACAAAGTTTGTGACATAAGGTGAAATCGAAAGAGGTCTTTGAACATGACTAGCTATGATGCACACATCACGCGTTAGCTGCCCTAGTTTTATAGAAGATTCTGGATAAATCAAGAAAGGTCAGTCATTAATCCTGATTTCTATAGATATACAAGTATGTATCATGCAAGCTCATTGAACATTCTACTACTTCCGTTTCATATTTTTTGCAACTTTCGGGTATTATTTGTGAGATATAAAATATTTCAAATTGCAAAAAATATGAAATAGAGGTAATAATAAATACTTGGAATTGGAAACAACTAGAAGGATTGGTTCATGAAAATTCTAGAACGTTATAGTTGTAAGAACGATGAAAGAAGTTCTAAAATCTTCAAGCCATTTCTTTCATCCGCCATTTTCAACTATATATATTAGTATTAGGCATTTAATTACAGGTTTAACATGCTAGAAGCCATACCCATAATACAAATCTTTCTACATATAAGCCCTCATGTATACTATTCACCTATTTTTCAAATGTACTATTTACTCTTAGCCAAAGTTGTTAATTGTACTCCCTCCGTTTTTAAATACTTACTTCATTTATTCATGTGCGGAGTTTTAGGAGAAATTGGAGAATGTATTAAAATATGGAGGTAGTGGGGTAGGTAAAAGAATAAAAAATTGTAAAAAAGCAAAAATAATTAAGAGAATTGGAGGAGAGAGAATATAAAATTAATAAAATATGATTTATGTTGGTCCATTAGTTGAGAGAAATAAATTAAATATTGTAAAAACTTAAGTATCGTGTGAATTGAAAACAAATCATCTAGGCTCATTAAAATACTATTCAAGTTTTGACCCATTTTAAATTATATAAGTTAAAAGAGAAAAAACCACATATCCTAAACTAATTAAATCTCAATCTTCCTAGTCCAACACTTTGTTTCAATTGCTTTTTCAATGTGTCACGTTTGCCCTATTACCTGATTAAAACATAAACAAAACTATTATGTATAAATTTATAAATCCTATATTATTTCGGCAAATTTAATGAATAATGTAACTAGAAACAAAGTTAGTGATGCAGATGGAAATAATCCTAATTTAAATATTGAAAAAAATTAAATAAGGTATTTTTTTAAAATGATTTTATGAGCAGATGAGTATCCCTTACTTTCCTACAAATTCATCAATATCATGATTTTTTTTTTTTTTTTGACAAACGCAAATGAAAGCGAACAAATTAAAGTTACGACAAGAAAGGAAAGTTAGTACGGCATTGTTTGGGTATTTTGCTTTTTGGACCTGATCTCTGAGAACTTTTAATATAGAGCATCTCTGGAAACCCGCTCCTGCTTCCCTTATCTCCTTGAGAATCCAAGTTATCGATACCTCCTTACCCGTCTTATCCTGAAGGTTGTTCAACAAAGAGCTAGAATCAGATAGAATAAGGATCCCATTTTTACCCTTCATTCTAGCCCACCTTATTGCCTCCAAGCAAGCCCAAGCCTCGCATTGGATAGCTGACGCTGCTGCTCCCTGTTTTCCGCCCTTCTCCAGCGCATGGCCATGCGAATTAGGCTTAACCGCCCACCCTATCCCTGCTCTCGTTGTATTCTTATCCCAGGAGCCATCAACTTCGACGATGAAGTCATCAAAACCAACCTTCTCCTTTCCTAAATTTTTATCTATGTCAACCTTCTTATATTATGTATGTACTGCCATAAAGTATCATAAATAATGCAGTATATTACTCTTTTTTCAAGTTATTGAATTTATTCTGAACATTATTTTCCATTGCACTCATCTGCTCATAAAATTTGAATTACATATTCTTAATTATACATTAACTAGATTTAAACTCGTATAATGTATAGGTCTCTATTAATAGCTTATTGATGGATTAAAAAATGAAGTGCTTGAAATAATGATGAATGATGTAAATATTACAAACTTCTACCATTAGAAGCTTATCCAATTAAGGTTTACAAATATATACACGCTATAGGGTATTTTGTAAAAAAAAAAAAAAAAAAATTTACGTAAATTTTAAATAACACGTTACAGTGTTAGGTCGAACAAGGAAACCAAGTCTAAAATTTGGGCTTAGTGGATAATCGGCCATAAAGAGTAGAAAGGAAATAAGTCTTACCCTAATTAGATAATGTGATTGTATAATTAAGGGTATGGGGAAAAATAAAACAGACATTCATCTTTCATAAAGAAACAACATATTATTTTTCCCTTCCTCTCTCCACAACCGGTTAGAAGTTCTCCATAGAAGAGGAGATTAATCTCTCCCGTCCAACTAGCATTGGTGAAGGTTCGATCTACACTTGTGGACCAGTCATAGAGGAGCAACAATAGGGCTCTAATCTCCGCTAGAAGGTTGAAGAAAGCTTGGTAATTCACACATCAAAGATTAATTCTAAACTATTATGTGATCGTTTATTTGTATATGCATGAGATCTTGTTTAGATACGTATGAATATAATTCATGAAATTAAATTTCGCTAAAAGTACCTAAAACCCTACAATATATGGGGATATAACGTGGCTGCTAATGAGGGGGAGTATTTCCTTTTTAGTTATGGCTTACATAGCATGTTGAAAGAAGAGTTTTAAGGCTCCACATACATCATACTCTTTTAAATAATAATAACTAGCCTTTTGGCCCATTTGATGTACAAGCTATTATGTTTATGTATATGCTATTATTCTTGTAGTGTATTGCTTGTTAATGGATGTTATGCGTAAATAATACTTTGTATAATAAGAAAAAGTTAAATCAATGATGAATGTAATACGTTCATATAATGTGTACTAATTATTAGCTTACATTTTTCTAATGAGGAAAATGAAACACTTTATGTTGTTACTTAAATTATGCAAGTTAAGAAATGTATAAATTCTTTAATGTTTTATTTAATTAAGTTAGTGGGAATGTGAAATAGATAATATTGACTAATTACTTCTAATGAATTAACTTTAAGAATAATTATTTTAATATAAATGTTATATAAAATAGAAAAAAATTAAAGAAGTTAAATGGTGAGTATGACATGTGACGCTAGTGCTTTGTTTTATTATATAATAAAGTATAGGCAATTAGGGATTTAGGTACAAACTCCAATTTGATAGTCGTTCATATTTTATATGTAAGAAAAAAATATATTTATAAGAGGTGTTATTAAATTTTTACAAATACATAATTGGAGAGATCAGATCAAAGTCAAGTATGAAAAGGTTAAATATTAAGAACTTTCATAAACATATATATGTAGTTATACCTTTACAATAACTAGGTTTTGTATGCACCCGATGCTTGCGTGAGTTTGGTTGAATAATGGATTAATTTTGGCGAAATACTCTAATTAAGTGGTGAAATGATAGTAAAATAAAATCATGTAAATGGTAAAATTACCTTTATATGCAAGGGATGTGTGGTAAAATAACATTTGGATTATTAATATTTTACTATTATTATACTTCAAGCTTGAAAATTTATTGCAATAAAAAAATGTAGTTATTAATATATTCGTGGTTAAATATCAAAATCTTTAAAGAAAATTCTATCAAAATCTTTAACCAAAATTCTCATTAATATATACAGATTAGAAATAAAATACAGTGAGGTAAGATATTATTTGATTCATCTTATTGCTTACTTTAATATAATCGAATTTGTATAATTTTTGTGAATACTTAATTTAATATTTAATTTTGAACCAAAGTATTTAATTTTGTGAATGCTTACTTTAATATAATCGAAGTATTTAATTTTGAACCAGAGTAGTGTGCCAAATTATATTGAACACTTCATTTTAGTACAAAGGGTGTAAAATAAAAATAAAAAAATACTCTCATAGGCCAGCACTTGTTGACATCATGCAACTCCGAGGCCTTCCAAAGGGAGGTTAGTGAAGTATGAGTAAATGCATAACAAGGGGCAATAGTGTAATTACACGTAAATGCATATTTTGAATATATGATAGGTTATGTAAATAATCTATTTATGTATATATTGTTTTGTAATTATTCTTGATAATTATATCTTGTATTATGGTAATTATCTTGTGTAGTTTCCTAGTTAACCTAGAATACTTTTGTATATATTGGTTAATCGTTAATGAGAAAGGCACGACAAATATTCTCATATTCTTTCATGGTATCACGAGTCTAGGTTTTCTAAAATCCTAATTCTCTCTTCCGCTCTCCCTTCTTCTCCATTTTCATATTTGGTTTTTCCTCCATGGCCGAAACTCAGAAATTACACCCGGCTACCCTAGTCACAAATATCAAGACTAGCATTCCCATTGTACTTGATTATGATGGCACCCAATACAACAATTGGTCTACCCTTTTCCAACTTCACTGTCGTGCAAATTTGATCATAGACCACATTATTAAACCAGTTGTTGATCCTAAAGAAAAGGCTGCCGAGGAACCTTCTGACAAAGCTCTATGGAAAAGGCTTAATGATATTGTTCGTCAATGGATTTACAATACTATATCCAATGACCTTCTCAATTTCATTATTGATCCCGACGACAAGGCAATCGATGCTTGGAATCGTTTAGAGAATTTTTTTCCACAACAACAAGTCTGCCCGAGCTTTACATCTTGATGCACAATTCACAAACACCAAGCTCGAACAATTCGATAGTGTTAAACCCTATTGCACTCGCCTTAAAACCCTAGCTGATAGTTTGAGGAATGTAGGAGACAAGGTCTCGGACAATATATAGGATGGCGCTTCAACTTTTAAAAGGGCTCTCGGAGGAGTACAAGCCCTTTCGGACCTCTGTACGACATCTCAACCCTTTTCCGTCCTTTGACACTTTGCGATCGATGCTTGAACTTGAGGAGCAAGGCAATGCACCCGACGTCGTCACAGATTCTCATGAGGAGGCTCTTGTTTCTCAATCTTCCCCAACGGTTCAAAGACAAAAAGGAGAAGCCGCACCAAATTCTACCAATAATCGTGGTGCTAATCCGCGTAGTATAGTAGTGGTCGCAAGAATAATAAGGGCAAAGGGGGTGGCGGAAAGGGCAAGTTCACCGCCGGGAATGGTGGTCGGAACACACAGCAAGAATCAGGTCGATTTCCGACAAATAGGTTCCGACGGATATGTAATTCCATCGGAAAAACTGAAATTTTCGACGGATTTATATTCCGACGAATTTCAAATTTCCGTCGGAATGTAAATTCATCGGAAAATATGCATTTTTCGGCGGATTTTTATTCCGTCAGAAATTTCCGACGGAATTTTTGTCGAAATATAATTTTTTTAAAAAAAAAAAAACAACAAAAAACCCATTTAAAAGAAGAAACCCTAATGCGGCTCCCCCCCACACCTTTTTTCTTTCCGCCTCTTTCTTTCCCTTTTCTCTTTCTCTCTCCTTCCCCTTCTCCTTCTCTTCCGGATCTTCTCCTTCTCTCTCCTCTTCTCTTTGCTCTTCTTTTTTCTCTTTTCTCTTCACTATCTCGCCTCTTCCTTCACTCCTCCTTTCCCCTTTTTCTAACCACTACAACAACAACCACCACCACCGCCTCTTTCTTCTCTCCTATTCTTCCGCTCTTTCTATCTCACACCACCACCGCAACCACAACGACCACCAACATCAACCGCAAACAACAGCGCACCGCCCAACAACAGCCACCGCCGCAACAACACCACCGCGAAACAGCATCCACCGTCGCGAGCATCTCAAGGTTTTTTGTAGATCTAGTTTTAACTTAGGTTCAATTGTAGATCTTGTTTTAATTTAGGAAAAGTGTAGATCTTGTTTCATTTTTTGAACATTTATGATTATAGTTAATTATTTATGTAATTATAATGTAAGTTTATAAATTTATTAGATAATTGTAATGATCATAGTTAATTTTCGTTTTTTTCTTTTACTAAAATTCCGAACAAATATGTATATCTACTGGTTTGGATTTTTTGTGGTAATTATCGCTTTTATTGGGTTGATTTTTTCTTTTCCTTGGGTAAATTTCGTTTGTTTTGTTTTTTTTTTGTGGTGTTTTGAGGTGGTGTGAGGTGGGGAATAGTGGTGTTTTGAGGTGGTGTGTGGTGGGGTGGGGCTGGTGGTGGTAGGGTCTGTTATGGTGAAGGTGCAAGTGTGGGGCTGGTTGCAATGGGGTTGGTGGCAGTGGTGCCGCCAAATTTTTTTTTATTTTTTTAAAGCATTTTTCAATGGAAATTCCGTCGGAAATTTTTCGACGAACTTCCCGGGCCGGAGAATCTTGTCCGTTGACTGAAATTTCGTCGGAATGTTGGTTTCGTCTGAGTTTCCGTCAGAAAAGGTCATTTTTCCTACAAAACCTCTTTCGACAACCGCTTTCGACGGAAAAAGGGTGTTTTCGACGGAATTTTCTGTCAGTAATCGCCTGTTTTCTAGTAGTGACAACCTGCCACATTAGTAGTAGGGCAGCCCTTCGCAGCCACAACAACAACAGGGGTGGATGTTCCCTCTTCCATATTAGGGCTACTGGAATCAAGCTCCTTGGGCAACCCCACCTTGTCCATACCCAAGTCAGGGCCCAAGCCCAAATCCTTGGCCAGTAAGGACGAATCACTCAGCTGGCGTCCTTGGGCCGCGTCTTCAGTAGGCATACTTCGATACCGTCTAACACCAAATAACATTGATTAAGCAATGCATACAATGTCTTTGGTGGATCCTAACTACTACATCGATACCGGTGCTACATCACACATGATGACAAACTCTCAAGGTAACTTGTCGTCATATTTTCCTTTGAGCAAAAATAGTCAAAATGCATGCAATTATTGTTGGTGATGGTAGTAAGGTTCTGATTACACGTTATGCTAACAAAAGCTTGAACCAAAACAAACTCCAACTCAAAAATGTTCTTCACGTCCCAAAACTAGTCAAAAATCTCATTTCTGTTAGAAAATTCACTTCTGATAATAATGTTTCTATTGAGTTTGATCCGTTTGGGTTTTCTGTGAAGGACTTGCAGACGGTGAGCAAAATAGTGAGATGTAATAGTTGTGGCGATCTCTATCCTTTCTTCACTGATCGTTGAGTCATCTCCTCTTCCATTCTGTCAGGTTTTGCAGATGTTTCACCTAGTGTGTGGCATTCCCATTTAGGTCATCTGGGAAATGCAATTCTTAGTTCTTTACGTCGTAGTAATCTCATAAGTTGTAATAAGGCTAATGAACATGTTTGTCATTCTTGTCCATTCTTGTCCTTTGGGAAAATTAATAAAAACACCTTTTTATGATTCTATGTCTCATACTACTATGCTATTTGATATTGTTCATGGTGATTTATGGACTTCTCCAATTGTCAGCTCTCTTGGTCACAAATATTATGTTCTTTTTCTTGATAATTACACGAATTTTCTATGGACTTTTCCTATCTCTTCTAAATCCTAAGTCTATAATCTTTTTCTTCATGTTGGAACATATATTCGAACTCAATTTGAGAAAGAAATAAGAGCATTCTAATGTACAATGCCGTGAATTTGATAATGATCCATTTAAAAAGTTTTGTCATGACAATGGTATGACTTTTCGTCTTTCGAGTCCATAGACTTTTTCTCAAAATGGCAAAGCAGAAAGAAAAATCAAAACGATCAATAACATTGTTCATACACTTCTTTTCCATGCTTCTATGCCGCCTTCTTTCTGACATCATGCTTTAGAAATTCCACCCATCTTCACATCATCCTTCCTACGAAGATTCTTGGTTACAAGTCTCCAACTCAGATTCTATATTAAAAACATCCTGATTATTCCCATCATCAAGTGTTCGATTGCTTGTGTTATCCTCTATTTCCCTCTACTAAGATTCACAAACTCCAACCTCGCTCTACTCCTTGCGTATTTCTTGGTTATCCAACCAATCATAGGGGTTATAAATGTTTTGATATTTCGATTCGGAAAATAATCATTGCTAAACACATATGGGTTGAAGAAACCGTGTTTCCATTTTCTAAAGTTCACACTCCCTAATCACACCTTATGATTTTCTTGGGGATAAATTGCATATCCTTGACACTCCCGTGATCAAGCACTATCTACATTCGGACTTGGATGTCACATCCGTCCAAACACCCAGCTAGCACCTCCCTTCATTCCTACTACTAGCACACAACAGCAAGGTCCGCAACCCACTTGCGGCTCTCCCCCTTTCTCCCGCAAGCAGGTTGCGAAGTACACTACACTCCCTGCTTCAGCAGCCTGTGCACCAATCTACTGCACAGCAGCCCGCACGCAGCTCACTCTCGCCCGCAAGAGACTCTCCCCCCCGATACCTAGCAGCATGGTGCTATCCCTGCGGGTCAAACGCGGGTGCTGGTGTGGGAGCTGTCTAGCGCAACAAGGCCGAGCAGCATGGGTCTATCCCATCTCTCCAGTCCACTTCTCACTCTTTTCTGCCATCCTAACCTCATCCCATGATGACTCGTAGTCGCCATGGGATCATCAAGCCGAACCTAAAATACCAAGATCGTTCTCTTCTCAATTCTACCTCCATATCACCCATTCCAAAAAAAATCCGGTTCATGCTTTACGTGACCATAATTGGAAAATTGCTATGTAGGAAGAATATGATGCTCTTATTGAAAATGGAACTTGGGCATTGGTTCCATGACCGTCTAATGTGAATATTATTCGTTCGCTGAGGATTTTTTGGTATAAAACGAACTCTAATGGATCTTTTAAGAGACACAAAGCTCGTCTTATTGGTGATGGTAAGACTCAAAGGGAGGGGATTGATTGTGATGAGACTTTCAGTCCGGTTGTGAAATCGGCAACTATTTGTGTGGTTCTTAGCATTGCTTTGTCTAAGTCTTGGCCTATTCATCAATTAGATGTGAAGAATGCTTTCTTACATGGTAACTTCAATGAAACAGTTTATATGTATCAACCTTTGGGGTTCAAGGATCCATCTCGACCGGATCATGTTTGTCTGTTGCGAAAGTCTCTTTATGGTTTAAATCAGGCACCTCGGGCTTGGTATCAACGATTTGCTGATTTTGTGGCATCCATCTGTTTTATTCACAACAAATCGGACACCTCATTATTCATATATCATCATGGTAATGATATTGCTTACATTCTTCTTTATGTTGATGATATTGTGCTCACTACTTCTTCAGAGTCTCTTCGGAAACTTGTCATATCCCGACTTAGCTCTGAATTTACAATGAAAGACTTGGGTCCTTTGAGTTATTTCTTAGGTATTGTTGTCACTCAGAATAAACATGGTTCGTTTATTTCAGTAAAGAAATATGCTCATGACATTATTGAGAAAGCAAGCATGGCTAATTGTAAACCGGCTTCGACTTTTGTTGATTCGAAAGGAAAAATGAGTTATCAGACCTGTTTCGGGGTTTTCTGATGTCCTGCGGGAGAGTTACAATTCCGAGACTGGAACCGGACGCCTGTACCTGCAAAATAACGGAGACTCCTGAGAACTCCGCCTCCAACGGTCAAGTTAGTACCTGATTAAGGAGTAATTAATGCGGAAATTAAAGTAATAAGGTCTCTCTAGGTGAGAGAGTTTAATGTTGGTAATCTGCTTTGTTAGCGAGATCAGCCGGTTATTAGTGTGTTCCGTAACGTTTCTGTTCTGTTCCGTTCTTCA